CAGGAATGTAAGTATCAGCAGTGTAAGGATTTAAATATATTAATGTGTTGTGACCAGGTGTGGGCCTTAATTTTTGTGCCTGCCACGAGTGGTATAGTTAGCTCTGGAGCTGTAAAAAACTGTCATCTTTTTTTCCTGCATACTTAGCTCTTCTCCTGTTTCAGCTCCTGCTAAAAGGAAAAAAAGCCAAATATATTAAGTCCTGTAAAGTACTGAGTGCATGTTGATGTGGCCTTCTGGTTACAAAGAATGAGCGTGGATGGAAGAAATGCGAACACATCTTCCCTGTCTTGCTGATGAGCCAGTTGCACGCACCCCCCCTCTCTGACTTTCAGGCCCAGCAACATATAATTACTGCCAAATGACTTTCAGCTCCAGATTGTGCAGCTGGGATCAGTGATTACAATTGGAAGCAAATAAAGGATTTGTTCCTCCGTGTTTGCACTAGGGAGAATCATTACCTTTAAGATCATTTTAGTTGAGTTAAAGATAGTTTCATGCAGCATTTACATATTTTTAAACCAACGATGATGAAAGGTCAGGGAATGACCCCTCTCCCCAGAGGATGACAGTCATTCCTCCAAGCAATAAAAAAGGTGTACACCAGCAACATGCAGTTCTCTATTAGGGAATAGTTGCTCAAGGACCCGACCTCAAGGAATAGTTACGGGCAAGGCACAAGTCCAATCTTCAGCCCTTCAGCTCTGGATGCTGCTGGACAGGGTAAGGCTGATAGGTACCGAGATAATGACATCTGTTTACTCAGAACTGAGTTGGAAAACACCAGCCAGTTCTCTGCTGGATACTGTAGTCATCAGATGGTGGTAGGTGAGCTCCTGTTGAGCTGGGCTCAATTTGAACCAGAAAGCCAGAGGTGATGGGGTTTTTTTCCCCTTTGGAAAACAGAAGATACTGCCTTTCCACTTCCTGTATCGTAGCGTGCAGCTGAAAAAACCTGTTAGTATCTCTGAAATAAAGCTGGAGGAAAGGTAAACTTTCCATTCGTGCACTTTTTTGCTTTAGCCAGAGATGGATTTTATAGCAGTAAAGGGGCTTTCTCGAAGGTCTGGCTATGGTAACATATTGCTGCCCTGCGAAGGGGCTGCAGATGCAAGGAGACAGGCGCTTGACGTACAGTGATCTCTGTTCCCGCTCTCTGTTCTAAAGGGAAGTGTGGAGAGATATTTCTGAACATACTTGGAGGCTTGCTGTAAAAGCTAAGCTGCTTTCGGAAGGGCCGTGTTATCTCTGTTTAATGTATTGAAACATCCTCTTCACCTCTGTTAAGGTGAGGCATCCAGTGGGGATTGTGATCATTGGTAGCCCTGAAAGATCCTGTGTGAAGGTTCATTTAACTGCAGGCATCTTGGTCAAATTCTGACTCAAAGCACTCCTGTCCAGCCGAAAAGGCAATTCCTATCTTAAATGATTGTGTAATATTGCTGTGCCAAATTAAACAGCTGCTGCACTTCCCAGTGTCTAATCTGCCTAGCAGCTAGGCTGGTAAGACTCTTTGAGTCTAGAGGTGCAGTATGAATGTAGGAAAGCGATGGGATGGCTTTATTAGTATCCCAAGTTTTCTATTACAGTGGCAAGCACCTAGCCTCTTTTCTATGTTCATCTTAGTGCAGGTGTTCTAGAAAATAGCTTGAAGGGACATTAATATTCTTGACCATGTCCAGATTACTGTGAAGCCTTTTTGTCTTCATGTCCAACAAGCATTTTGTAAGTCAGCATTTTCACTAATACACGGGTGCAAAGTTCGACTTGGTGGGCCATAGACATAGAGTTTCCATATCGCCTTAGGAGTTAGGTTCCTTGAACTTACTTATCAGCACTTTGGCTGATCAAAGCTTTGCTTAATGCTTCTTATATCATGTAGGTTTGGATGCATGAATGACTCCCCCTTTAAAAAGAAAAGAAAAGATTAAAAAAAAAAAAAGCTTCTGCTTTCAGCCTGAGCAGTCTTTGTTGTGCAAATGGGTAAATTAATTCAATTCTTTCCTGTCTTCCTCCCCCTGCCCCTCATCTTTCCAGGTCGAATCAAGTATTCGGAGCGAGTGTATGATGCGTGTATGGATACATTTGACTGTCTTCCTCTTGCTGCCCTCTTAAACCAGCAATTTCTCTGTGTTCATGGAGGACTGTCTCCAGAAATCACGTGTCTAGATGACATTAGGAAAGTAAGTAATCTCCGTGGTCCTTTCACGTAGCTTACAAGTAATAGTGTGGTGAATGGCTTGCTTGATTCCTGCGTGGAGTTCCAGGTTGAGGCTCCTGTGCTCTGCATGTCCACACCGTAGGTGTGTGCATGCCGCTGCAGCTCTCACCAGCATTGTCCTGATTTGGGGTACGTTTTTCAGTTAGACAGGTTTAAGGAGCCTCCGGCCTTTGGTCCAATGTGTGACCTGCTCTGGTCCGATCCATCGGAGGATTACGGCAATGAGAAAACACTGGAGCATTTTGCCCACAACACTGTTCGAGGCTGCTCCTATTTCTACAGGTAAGTGGTGTTTTAGGGGGCTCTGATGGACTAGGGTTTTTTGTCTCCCCTTAGACTAAGGTGTATGGGGAGATAAATTGCTATTCAGATCACTCTGTGGGACTTCACAGTGTACCTGGCTCTGAAATAGTCTTCAGTTGGCTCTAATGCACAATATCTTGTTTGTTTTTTCTTCTCCTGTAAGATTGAGCTCTCTTTGGATATGTTGCTCTATGAAATTGTGGTATCGGACAGCAGAGATGCTTCTTTTAGCTGGCAGGGTGCCTTTTGAATGGTTTTCAGGCACTGGACAGTACCAGGAGCTCTAGGAAATAATCTTTTCCTGTCTAAAAGAGAAACATTTGTGCTGACAGACCACTTGTATCCCGGCTGATAGGGAGGAATTGGCACCAGCGGTCTGTTTAACAGAATGCTTTGCAATTAATTTTGGAATGATGTAATACATACTGGCCTTGTTTGGGGATGCTGGACACAAACTGAATGGATGCTGCAAGTGGCTGGTTCCTGAAACCAAGACCATAGGTGTTATCTGCTCTCCTGCGCTACATGCTAATGTATACTTGCTTTTTGTTTTCCAGTTATCCTGCAGTTTGTGAATTTTTGCAGAACAATAGTTTGTTATCTGTAATCCGAGCTCACGAAGCCCAGGACGCTGGGTAAGTGCTGCAGCCTGGTAGCTGAGCAGGCTCCGTCTGCGTTCGTGCTATCCTTAGCAAGACCAGTATGTTTAACACTTGACCTGTTTTTCAGGTACCGAATGTACAGGAAGAGCCAGACAACAGGCTTTCCGTCATTAATCACAATCTTCTCTGCACCAAATTACCTAGATGTCTATAACAACAAGGGTAAGGCTGGCAAGGCCAGGGCTCTGCTGCTGTTCAGATGTCAGTACTGTCCTCACGCGCTTAGGAAATCCCTCTCCATCTTCCCTTGCCTTGCCCGCTCTGCCCTCTCTTCTAGTTGCATTCTTATGCATGAAATGAAAAAGAGCTTTATATGTTAAACTGACGGCAGCTGGGGAGCTGGAAGTGGCTGGGTTCTCTGACTCGAAGACTTGATGTATTACTGTGGCAATTAGCTGTCACGTTATAAAGCCTAGAATAACGCTTTCATTTCCAGCCACATGACAACTAAGCGCTATTGATGAATGCTGCCATAAAAGAGAAGCTGCTAGTATAGGCAAGCTTTTAACTTGACTGTGCCCCTAAAACCATATTGAGTATGATGGGGAACTTTCCTCAACTGGGGGGTTCTTTTGCCACTCGCTTGGGATCTTGTCCCTGTGTTCATCACTTCTGATTGGCATAAATTTTAACAGCTTTGTTAAATTGTCCTTCACTATTACGATGAGCTTTAGGGAAACAATGTAATGGGTAAACTGAAAAATACTGCTTAAGCCTTCTCATTTTGGAGAGCTGGTAGTTTGATTCTGCATGAGTGCAACCTCTTGTTGGTAATGAAGTTTCATTAGTGCAGGTACGGCTCCCAGAAGTTGACAGTGCCTACGGGCATGTGTTGTCTTTCCTTTTTCTCTCCCAGCTGCTGTACTGAAATATGAAAACAATGTCATGAACATCAGGCAGTTCAACTGTTCCCCTCATCCGTACTGGCTTCCAAACTTCATGGATGTCTTCACATGGTCTTTGCCTTTCGTAGGGGAAAAGGGTAAGAGATATTTGGATTTCTGTTATGAGTTGCCCAGTGACTGGTCACGGTACCCTGAGTGTTAGAAACCTGTCCCACGGGCTATTAAATGTGTTGGGAGAGTGTTGTGACTCATTAATATCAGATAGCACTGGAAAGTAGTTCAGGTTCAAGGAGATCTGCATAATACTGGGTAAAGTTCATGTGAAAATAATTGTTGATATCTGTTTTAGAAAGCTTTTCCCAATAAAATGATCCCGTCTTGCTATTTCTGCATTGCTGATGGAGCCGATCTTGGGTGGTGTAGCCCCACCTCAGAATTTGGAGACATTTCTCTTGCTCTGGGTTTGCAACAGAGAAATTAAAATCTCCTGTTGGCTTGTGGCCCACCAAAAAGGAAGCATTCGCTTCAGTTTAAAGGCTTATTTCATTCTGAAGGAGGCGAGGCAGCTTAAAATATGACCAAGACTTTGCCTCAATTTCTCAGCGAAAGGGTTTTTACCTCTCCTGGTGAGTTTAAATTCCACTCCAGCGTTGTATGTTTGGAGTATGACTTAAAGGTCTGAAACGCCAAAGGTTTTGTGACTTTGAGGAACCAAAGGTTGAATTCCCCCCAGACTTGACATTCTTGGAGCCAGGTGGCCTGTTGTGCGGGTCGGGGTGGGGAGGTGGGACCTTCACAGCGGGCCCAGGCTGTTCTGCATGAATGTTGGCACCCTGCTCCCCACGTCTGTTTCATCTGTGATGTGCTTGGACTGCATCCACCTCCTTGGCAGAAGGTGTAAAGTATGTCGTCTGCTCTGGGTACTGCTGCGAGGTACCAGCAGTATGCGGCTAAAAGTGTCTTTGGGCTTCCACTTCCAGAGTATAAATGACCTTGAAATCGTTTGCTTGTCCAGCTCGTCCTCCAAATACCTCTGTCTGCCAAGTGTGCGCACCGGGCCTCTCTAATCTTCCTGTCTGTACTTCTTACAGTCACAGAAATGCTCGTTAACATCCTCAACATATGCTCCGATGATGAGTTGATTTCAGATGGTGATGAGACATTGGAAGGTAAAAAAACGCTGTTACGACCGAGCTGGTAACGGTGGGGGGGTGAAGGTGGGGAAGGTGTGTGATGCTAGCTCAAGAGTGATCAGCACTTGATTTATAGCTGGATGCCCAGCCAGGGTCTCCAGTTCCTTTTTGGCCAACCCTTGTGCAGTTCTGGGTAGGAAACTTTTTTTTTCCCTTTGCTATTCAGTCACAGAGAAATTAAATTATATTCACTGCGACAGACGCTTCTTGCCAGCTACTCTGGAGAATGGTTTCCTGCTCCTTACAGAGACTGCTTCCCAAGTGGTTATTTTTTCCCCCAGTTCAAAATTTTGTGCACCAAAATATCTACCCAATCTTCTCATCTGTTGCAGTGAACTCCTCTGTAAAGTGGCTTCTCGTGTCACCCCAGAAAAAGTAGAATGCAGTTTTTGGCCCTGGTTTTAAGCTATGAAAGGGACAAAACAGTTGCCGAGCTGATCTGCAGTTTCTATGCCGGGGGGATCGCTTGAGAGCGAGGTGGTGACCTGGAGGAAGCTCAGGCGCAGGCGTGGGGCATGCAGCGAGAAGTGGGGCCGTGAGCATGCACGGGGGGGTCCGGGGGAGCTGCCTGTACAGACGCCTGTAGGGTGGAGGACAGTCAGTCCCGCAGAGAAGCAGAACACCATTGTGGTACAACAGGGTGCCGCTGCTTCGGTCAACAGGTTGAGACTTTAACCCGCTTCTCCCATTGCATTTCGTTTTTGTTTTTTTTCTTTCTCCCTCCCATGAAAATTAAATTTGTTTCTTCTATCTCTGTCTTCATCTACTTGTTTCTTGGTGTCTCCTCTCCCTGAAGATCACTACATTTCAAGCTATCAGAAAGGTACCCAGCTAGAATTTGCTACGAGCTTAATTTTCACTGCCTGTGCCACCAGATTCCTTGGAGTGGATTTGAATAGCTGACTAGTTGGGCAGTCTCTTCATCCCCTTTCAGTTTTAACATAAGCGCCGTGTGTTTTTTAACCCTTCTGCGTTCCTCCAGGAACTTGAGAAACGGGGTCACGTTTCTATCTGACTTCTGAATGCAGCCACTTAGTGCATGGCTGAGCCATCGGTGCATGTTAGACCTCTGGTTTGGCTTGTACTGTCCTAATGTGTAGTTGGGCCATGTGAGGAATCTCAGCTGAGAGGAGATGTATTTGTTACCTCTTTTACTTTGATTTTTGTTTGTTTTCAGTTACCCTCCATGCTTTTCTCTCATGTTCGGTCTGTATAGCGGAAGGGGAGTTCACATATCTCACTTTGTGTTTGTGTGGGGTCAAAGCAGAGTTGCAAGGCTCCGGCCAGCCGTTCACTGTGCGCGTTGGATGCCAAAGCTGATGCTTGCGTGACACTCCTCCCCGCGGCGAGCACAGCCCGGTGTTCTGCAGTGTTCATCAGCAGTCAGATTCGTCAGTGTTCTGCCTTGCAAAACTGTGTCTACATGGCTGAGTCATTTGTGTTACATCCTGTGTAGTGTGATCAAACCTGGTGAGCTTCGAACAAGACCTATCCGATCCGTTTCCTTTGGTGGTTCCACTCTCTTTAGACCTTTAAGTCCGTGTGTCATCTCGTTGGTGTTGCCCTTCTCACTGCCATCCTGACCGCCATCCTCTCAGCACTGTTCTCTCAAGAGTGTAGCTGTGAATCTGTAAACCATGATTTCTTTTCCTGGAGTCAGGCAGGTGCTTCATATTGACATTACCTGTGCCTGGAAAGCAGGAAACCTTAAACATGCTGGTGTTTTTTTTTCTCTCCCTAAGGTGGGACAACAGTCCGTAAAGAGATCATCAGGAACAAGATTAGAGCCATTGGGAAGATGGCGCGTGTCTTCTCGGTTCTTCGGTAAGGAAGAAGCTTGTGATTTGGGGTTTGGGTAACGGGGGACGTTGGTCAGGCTGCTCCGGGCAGGCAGAGTCCTGCTGGGGAAAAACCTTACAAGACTGTTGCTTCAGAGTAGGTGGCAAAGGCTCGAGGTGGTGGTTTCTGTATGCCTGGTGGTCTGACTCTTGGAAACCTTCATCTCAAGCACCGTCACCTTTGCCAACAGAAATGCTGCTGATTAGGTATATTTAACCCTTTCAGGATGCATTTGCTGCGCCGTAGCTCTGATGCGTCGTGGCTAAGCAGAGGTCCTGTATTTACGAGGCAGGGTTGCGCTCAGTGCCCAGCAGATCGGACGCGCGCTGCCTGTGTTCAGCACAGGGCAGACTCTGGCTTTCATGCCGCTCACCACTAACAGTCTTGCGTGGATCTAACTGAGCATTGCGTCCATCTCTCAGTAACCGGTTGCGTTGCCTCTTATTTGCAGAGAGGAGAGCGAGAGCGTGCTGACTCTCAAAGGCCTGACTCCCACAGGTACACTGCCCCTGGGAGTGCTCTCAGGGGGGAGGCAGACCCTACAGACTGGTGAGTACGAACGATCCTCTTCTCTGCAACATTGCATCCCCTCTGCAGTTTTATACCTGGTCCTCAGCTGCCCCGAAAACCGTTTGATCGGTTCCCGTAGGCGTACTTCAGGGTGCCAGGGGACCCGAGAGATGGTTCAGGCCCACGGGGAGGAAGGATTCGGAAATAGGAAAAAGCAGAAATGTAGGTGGGGATGTGGAGAGCCTTCCAAGATGTCCCTGTATACCCTCGAGGAGGGGAACGCGAGGGAAAAAAGACAACAAACAGCATCCCGCCTAAAGCATGTGTATTGCTTTATTGTATGTTTCTGCAAAAATTTTTATCATTTATTTCCCTTCTAACGCTGCATGATAAGTATCCTCTGCTTCACCTCTCTGCTGCTGTTGTGTGATAGTGTATATATGAACGTAATAGTAAACACTCTTGCCTGCTTGTTTGTTCTTCGTTAAACAAAACCTCTTCTTTGGTTTTGACCTTATGAAACTGTGAATCCCAAACAGAGGAAGCTTAGCTTTAGTTGAAGGAAGGAGATTCTTCCAGGCCTGTATGTTTCATATTAAGACTTCTCTCGGCCCCCTGGTTTTGATCTGGTTTTGGAGGTTTCTCTTCCGTGCTTGCTGGCAGATACGTTGCTCCCTCCCTCAGCAGCCAACTGGTCTGTCTTAATAGTGTGCTGAGAGCAGGACTGAGCTAGCGATCTGCGTGCTTTAAGCTCGCAGGGCAGGGAGATTGGCTGATGGTCAGGGAATGAGTTATCATAGTAACATGTGTCCCCAGAGGGAATCCTGTAATCTAGTGTTTTAATCCTTTCCTGCCGCCAGCCTTTGAATGCTGGCGTCTAACCAGCCTGCTTTCCCCTTGCTATCAGCGCTGGGTAATTTCCTGCGGGCTCAGAAGAGAGGGCTTGTTCTGGGATTGCCTTGCCTTGATTAAATAGTTCACAAGTGAGAAACGTGTAAATATTGCTGCCCGCTCCTGGGGGTGGGGAGGGATGCGGTATCGCTCCCAAACTCATGGGTTTCTCTGCCTGCAGAGGAGTATGATTTTTTTTTTTTTAATTATTTTTTATATAGCAACCACAATGGTTTCTGTCGCCCCAGTTCTGCTGGAGGTATGGGAACAGAGCCTGAGTGGGAAGGCGGCTGTTACAGCTCGGCTCGAGCAGCCAGCTCGCTCGTGGTGCCGCAGCTCTGCCCCTATAGCTGACAGCGCAGGGAGCGGGTCGTGCTGCGACGCTCTCCTACACCTTCCCCTCTCGGGGGCTGGGGGGGTGTCCTCTAAGGGGCTACCAGGCAGCTCCCCCCAGTAAGGAAGCTGAGATTTGTGCATCTCCCTGAGACAGGACAAACAAGCTGGACCTTTTCTGCTGCCTTACCTGACCCTGCCTGCCGCCTCCCCCCGTGGCTGCGGGCTTCCCACCCCTTGCTGTTCCCGGCACCCCGTGCTCCCCTCAGCAGCACCCTGCTTTTCGTGCCCTTCTCACGCTCCTTTCCCCGTCGTGCCTCCTTCTCTCACCCCTTCCCGTTTCACACGTCCCTTTGCACCACGCCGTCTGCTCGCAGCAGCCTCCTGGTGAACGTACAGGCGCTCCTTCAGCAGCCATGCTGGGAGCCTGTCTGCTCGGCAGGGAGAGGAGGGGGCTGCACCCCTTTTGGGGTGCCTCTGCACCCCAAAAGAGGAGAGACAGGGCTGCAGGTAGCAGTGGCGGGGCCCCTTCCCTCCCTGAGCCTCCTGCCAACCTTTCGCAGCATGGCTTAGCAAAATCGGCTGAGTAAAGTCATTGAATCTAGAGCAAAGATGCTCAGCAACAACTCCATTCTTCCTCCATGGCCTCTCAGGGACCATGTGGCCTTTGTATTGTGTCCAAAGCAGCAAAACTGTGGCGTTTTGAGGCTAAAAGCAGGGGATCTGTTCTAGGGAAGGGCCTCCTCCCAGATGTTGAGGCAGGGACTACCAAAACTTGGATAGCTGCTGCAGCAGATTTAGGAAGGGGGACGTTGCTCAGCTTTATGGTGCCTTGTTGCTTGGTAACACTTTTAGGAGGTGGAGCTGAAGCCAAACTGGATTTGAAGCATCAGCCTGGCTTTTTTGTTATAACTCAAGGCATCGGGAGCGGAGCGGCCTGGTATCGGCTGCTGCCTGCCCTCCCCTGGAGAAGAAGCTGCCCCTCTCTTCCCCACTGCTCCAAAAAGTCATCACGTCCCTCGGGGTCACTTCCCTCACATGGCTCTGGTGGCTGGGGCTTTGCTGTGGGATGAGTTCCACGTAATTTACCTTCTGAAGGTGGCCAGGGCGCCCTAGAGCCACTGAACTGGGAGCAGGGGGGCTGTAAATGCAGGTGGAGACCCATGGCTTAGTCCGAGACTATCGCTGTCCTTGCCGTGGAACACCTCCAGCGCATGCAGCAGCGAGCCATCTCTCTGCTTCTCTGTCTCTTTCCATTGGATTTATCTGTGTGACGAGTCCAGCGAACGTGAGGAAAGGAGACTCCCCCGTGTCAGTGCTCAGCAGACGCTAAACCCGAGGGAGTCCCCTTCCAGCCTTCCTCTCAAGCTCCTGTCACCTTTTTTCCTCTTGCCAGTTGGTTTTGATTACGGTCGTCTTCACTGGGGCTGGGAGGCTGTGGGCTCTGCGTTCGCAGCGATGATGTTCGATCACTCACTGTCACTCTTTTTTTCTGTCTTCATTTTTGCATGCCACTGTTCTTCTGTATTGCAGCCACAGTAGAAGCGGTAGAGGCACGGGAAGGTATGGCTAGAATCCGGCGAGAGACTCAAATCATCTCTGTGTGTGCGTGCGCTAATTTTAAAGAGCTTTATCAGCCTTATGGAAGCTTTTTACTCTTGCATCACCAGAAGTGGGGGAGGACGGGCCCCTGCTGGGAAGCAAAAAATACACGGTGGGCTGGTTCAAGTCTATTTTAGCCTTTAATGAGGCTATTGCTTAGTGCAACACCTTTATTCCGAGAGTGCCCTGTCTCCGGAGCGGTTTGTGCTCTGGTGTCTCAAGACCTTGGTGTTGGGGTCCTGCAGTCCGATCTCGGATGCCTCGCGGCTGAGTTCATCCCCTGGGTGACTCGATGCGGTGAAGGCTGCCAGCAGGCTTGGTCAAAATCATCTAGGAAACAGCGGATTGCGCGGCTCTGATGTAATCCTTGCCTTCCCCACAGGTGGGCCAAGGTGGGCCCAGCGTGGAGAAGCAGTTTTCTCCCTGTAGCTCGTGTAGAAATGACAGATTCACGAGGTTACTGTCTGGGGAGGTTTTCTCCTTGATAGCGCCATTCAACTACTGATGAATGGGGCCGTGCCTCTGTGTAGAGAACTTTTTGATTACCAAGGGAAGTTTGTTTGTAAACCAGCCAAGTCCTTGTAAAAAGGTTTGGCACAACCCCCAATGTAATACAAAGAAGTTAAAGATTTGGTCCATATCATCACCGCAAGGATGATGTACTCAGCCTCGTAGTGATGAAACAGAGATACGCCTGCCCTCGGTGGGATTTCGTCACTCGTGAGACTGCCTGCGTGTCTCCTGGTCATGCAAGAAGCGTTGCGTTTGTGATCCGAGGACTAGCTGTTTCCCTCTCCTGGTGTTGCAGTGTGTGGTTTGTGTTGGAGTTAAAGCCTCGTGGTGGTGTCTTTGTTGTGTTGGTTTGGTTTTGCCTTTTTTTTGTTTGTTTGTTTGGTTTTTTTAGTATCCTGTTTTTCAGCTTTGAAAGTTTCCTGAGATTTCACTGTCTGGGGACGTTGAGCACTTGTCTGGTCTTCAAGTTCCTACTGCTAAACTGTATTAAAAGAGGAACCATTAGGGAGCAGAGCAAGTCGCTGCAGTCTGGAATCCTAGACTTTGCTGCTGTGACCCGGCGGCAAGGGCTTCAACTTCCCAGCTGCGCTGTGGTACCCACATAAGCTGGTGATGCCGAAAATCACCTGCGGACCCATCTCGTGGTTCCCGTAGCCAGACACGTGCTTTCTGTCACCCTGACTCTGTCCTGTACATGTCTGGCGTGTGCTAAAGGGCTCCTACCCGGGGATCCGCGGCTCAGACTAACTCTTCTATCTCGGCCCTTCTCTCTGCAGCCATTCGTGGATTTTCGCCGCAGCACAAGATCCGCAGCTTCGAAGAAGCCAGAGGTCTGGATCGCATTAACGAACGCATGCCGCCACGCAAAGATTCAATGCACTCAGACGGGCCGGTGAACTTGGTAACCTCAACAAACTCTGCGGACAAGAATGGCACAGGGAAGAAAGCCCAGTAACGGTCCGAGCGCCCAATCTGCACCACTAAAGGATCCAAAACTTAATGAATTTTATTTATTTATTATTGGGGTGGGGTGGGGGCAGGGGAGAAACCAACTTCACCTGGAGGCACGTTCATAATCCAGTTTGCATCCATTCTGTAAGAAAGGTGACCATTTTGTAATTTTTTTATTTATGTTCAATATATAAAAAGTCCATCTTTTTTTAATTTAGAAACCAATCTAACTGCTAGTGCATATATGAAGTGTTGTGCTGTACAGCTGACCTCTCCTCCACGAGAGGCAAACCTCTGTGGGGGGATTAAAAGAAACAAAAACAGTCCCAGGCAACTTGGGTCGTTGACTTTGGTACAATTCTAAGTTAGCCTGTGCTTTCAAAAGCAGGTCCTTTCGCTGAAAATAGGGTTGGTTTGGTTTTTCTTTTCACAACTGTCTTCTTCCCAGAGTTTGCTGTTGTTTTCTTCGACTTCTTGCCTACCTGCATCTGCTGCTTTAGCAACCGATTCTGTGGAAGGCACGTTGCGTGGTGCAGCTGGCTGGGATCCGTCCCTCTTCCAAGGTGGCATCCGAATGTTCAGGGTTAGCTCTGAAGGACACCAGGGTGTTACGGCAATCACAGCACCTTTTCCTTCGGTAATTCAGTTTTGTTCCAGTGGAGCCCCAGGCAAAAAAGTAACCTCTGAATCGGAACGGGAGGGCAGGTGGGAGAAGCACTGCCCCTTGTTGCAGCTCTTCCCGAAGGTTCGGCCGTTCGGACTCGGTGCAGCCGGCTGTACGCCGGAGTTTCTCAGCCGGGGCTGTCCGTGCAGCAGAAATCCCTCTGGGAATCCCTCTGATTCAGAGCAGAGGAATTGTCGCTAGCGATCAGCAGGTCTTTGGGAAATCTGCACGGCCTGAATTTTAAAGGAAAAAGGGGGTGATTTATAACCTGTGGACAGAAAGACCCCCCCGCTACCACCATCACATACTGCAGAGCCCGTGCCCGCTACCACCATCACATACTGCAGAGCCTGTGGCATGCTCCCCTGCGCCCGGCGCTCGAATCAGCCCTTGCTGATCAGTATTTGAGCGGTGGGCGTGCGAGGCGGTCTCCCCTAAGCCAGCACCGCCTCCCAGTCATCCAGCGTGCGTCTTTGGGGGGGTCTTTCACCTACTTGGGCTTACCCCGCTACTGGTTACCTTGTTATCCGGCGGCTATTCCTCCGACTCCAAAGGAGCCATGGGCACATCAGCCTTTCCTGGCAGCTGGAAGGGGGTTTGCCGGCTTGTGATAAAGATTTGGGGAAGGGTGGGTGACGGTGCTGCTCGGTTTTGTAGAGATGTGGCTTGTTGGCTGACGGCCAGTGGCGAGGCGGCTTTGCTAAAAAGCCCCTGGTTTGGGAAGCGCGTCCCTCGGCTGCAGGGGAGGGAGGATGGTTTTACAGTAGGTTGGCAGGTAGAACCGAGTGGATCTGGCAGAAGTTTTGGAAGGGTGTTTGTGCAGTGCTGGAGAGGGAGGGGGATCTCCTGGTGAAAGGAGGGTTTCCAGAGGACGCCCTCTTTGCAGGGTCAAGGGTTTTGAAGCTTGGATCTCTTAAGCAGAGCCTCGTTCTTTCGCTTAAACTTTGACCTGAAGTGAGTGTTGAAAGAGGATTTTGAGAGATTCCCGTTTGGTCGCTTCCCTTCCCCACGTGTCATTTGAGCCACGTCCTTTTCTGCCTGCGATTGCACAGAGTCAAAGCAGCAGCTTCCAGAAGCGAATCCCTTGCCAGCTTTCACTTCTTCTCCAACTTAACTGTCTATTGTGCTTTCTCCAAGCAAGGGCAGCAGGTGAGCAGGCTTAGCCTCCAATAAGGGATATTTGCCAACCCCTTCTCTGGATCTTGCTGTCTTCCCTTTGTGCTCCGGCCCTAAGCTGCGATTCCAGCGAAAGAGGAAAACAGCAACTTTGCAGGAAGCTTTCAAATTGTCTTATAATTGTACGTCACTTAATTTCATGCCAGCTATTTAGGAAACAGTATCTGTGAGCAGACCACTGGGTTTTCACAAGAGACTTTTGAGTCGCATGCCTCCACTTTTTCTTTTTTTTTTCTTTTTTTTCCCTTTTTTACACGCCCACTGCTTTGCAAAAAGTGCGAGATGTTTTGAGCAAGCTTCTCTAACCCCATATGAGGCGTGGGGCCAATTGCCTTTGTGAGTATTTCTTCTGTTTTTTAACGGCATCTTTTCTGAAACACAGTGAGCCGATGTGTGGTATCTTCCTCTGAGAGCGCAAACCGTGCAAAGGTGCTGCCCGTGCATGTTCGGGCATGTTGTTCTGACCCAGGCTGGGATCTCGCCCAAGCAGCAGTTTTAGTCGGGAGCTTTGGGACGGGTGCTGCAGGGGGATGCTCGTACCCCGAGCCTGGCAGCCCGTGCGTGGGGGTTCAGGAGGGACCGTCCCTTTGCGGAGGGGGATTTGCTTTGCTCGCGGTTTCTCCCCCAACCTTCTCGTCCTCCGGCGTCACCAGCTCCCCCCAAAAACCCGTTTGGCCCTTGTGCTTCATGGTTTGCCGCCCTTGCAAAGCACGGGGGGCTGGCGGCGTTGTGAGGAGCTGTGACACACACGCACCCCCCACACCCCCATCCCTGCAGCTGGGTGTTGCCGAAAACGTCCCTGTGGCTGG